CGGGTCGTAGCCCCTCCGGGAGGAAGGCGGGAGGGGGGGGAAAGGGCGGGAGGCCGAGCTTCCTCGGATCCAGGTGAGGCGGGGGGGGGCGCGCACGCGGAGCGGGGTTGCTCCTTCCAGGGCCTGGGCGACAGACACCCTTCCTTCCGCCAGGGCCACCCAGGTCGCTCTCGGTGCTCGGAATCTCTTCCTTCCAGCGCCCCTGAAAGCTTCGAAGAACTTCGAAAGAACAAGCTTCGAGTGTCAAGAGCCTTAACAAGAGGGCCCTTCCAGCTGGGGGATACTGTACTTCCTTCTCACCTGCTTTTCTGCCACCGACCCACAGCTTGCCCAAGGTATGTGCATGAATTTTTCCCAGGGCAGCTCTGCTGAAGGGGAAGTTAGAGCTCAGGTCAGGGCTGGACAGCACAGTGAGTTGGTGTGTATATTAAAATAATGCGGAAACTTAGGGTTCTGTGGAAGTGAAGGGAGCTCCTTTGCCCCTGCCCACACCCAGGATCTCAAAGGCTCAGGATACAGACACCCTTGGGCTCCTGTCAGGATCCCACCCACTAAGGGAAGAGGCGGCAAAGGCCAGTCCTCGCTGCCACTTCCAGAAGTCCCCTTAGGGTGCTCCCAACTTTGCCCTTTGTGTGGGGTTCTTTCTGTTGACAGCACACCCGCCCACTCAATGCCTCCTCAGCTCTCTGGCTCAGTCCCCACCCTTAAGCAGGCACGCCAGTCAAGGAAGAGGCACTCGGCCCATGCTCAGTGGCACTGGTACCTTCAGTATCCCATAGGCTGCAGAAGCCAGCTTTCCTATTGCCTCTTAAAGCAGACAACCGTCTCTGTGTTTCTCTGAGTGAGAACGGAGCAGACTAGATGATCTTCAGGACACCCCTGGAAGATAAGGGATCAGAGGGCTAAGAAGAGCTGCCTGATCTGTGCCACCCAGAATTATGACAGGCAAGTACCTGGAGGCCTGAACGCCCCCCCCCGCCCAATCCAGCCATGCTAGGAAAAGAGATCTGAAAGTCGTGTCCAGTTTTATTTCATGTTAACTCTTGGACTGGCCTGGACAGGCCCAAGGCGGGAAGGTTTGCCCGGTACATCCCAGGACAAAACCAGTTAGTGCAAACAGTGGCAATAAACATAATTGTTTCTTGTATATTATGCACAAAAAGCAATAATAATAACAATAAACCATTCTGTCTGGAGGCTCTGGTGAGCCCCAAAGTGCAGGCTTGGCAAAATAAAAAAAAAGAGAGCAGAAAGCTGGGACTGCATTGTCATCAATTGGATGGAGGCAGCTGAGGAGCCTGGGCTCCTGAAGGGGAGGTGTTGTCCGTGGATGCAGTGGGGGTGGAGTGAGGGCAAGGGGACTAGCAGACAGCAGCGTGCAAATCCAGGAAAAAGAAAGGAAAAAGAACCTGGAGCCAAAGGCAGAAGGGGGGGGGAGAGGCGGGTGTGGAGGGGCATCACACAAGACACAGTCCAAACACCAACCCACGTGGTGGATCCTTTTGCTGCCCACCCATTGGCTAGCCTTCCCTGGAGGAACAAAGGGGTTTCCCTTCCCTGTTCTCTGGGGGAAGGTGGCAGCGGGAGT